CTAAATGCTACTCATGTGCTGATAACTCTCAAAAGTCTATCTCAGATCTGTCCTCACTCCCAAACTACATACTCATGCATCCAAAAGCCTACTAGACACCTCCAATTGTCTAAGGGACACACAGATTCATCACAGATGACACAACTCCCAATCTTACCTTCAAACCTAATAAATAGAAACGTTCTCCATCCTTCCAGTTGCAGACGCAAAAGCTCTGGAGTCATTCTTGAGTTCTTTCCCTCACACTCTTTATTTATTTTGTCAGGAAATACCACTGGCTATACTTCCAAAACACATCTAGATTCTGATCACTTTCCCCCCTTCCTCTCCAGCCACCCCAGACAGAGTCAGCACCCTCCTGCCTGGATTACTGCAATAGCTTCTTAACTGGTCTTTGCATTTCTGTCCTTGCCCTTATATGGTGGATTCTTAATATAGAAGCCAAAGAGATCCCTTTAAAATGTAAGTCAGGTCTTGCCCACCTTGTCTGCCAAAAACCCTCCAATGGCTTCCTGGCTTACTGAGAGCAGAAGTCAAAGTCCTTGCAATGTCCGGCAGTGCCCTGTAGGATCTCTCTTTCCCTGTTACCTATGCAACCTCCACCACTGTCTACTTCACTCCTTCCCTTTCAGCCACTGGTCATCTTGCTTTTTCCCAGCAAGCTGGGAAAAGATCTTGGGATCTTTGCTTAAGCTTTTTCTCTGGCTGAACTATTCTTCCCCCAGACTCCCACTTGGCTAACGCCCTTACCTCCTTCAAGTCTTTGTTCACATATCACCTTCTCAATGAGGTCTACCCTGAGCACCCTATGCACCCTATTTATTACTATAGCTTCCTCACTATCTAGGCCTGACCCTACTGACCTTACTCTTTTGTTATTTCTATGCCACTTATCAAATTTATAATTTCCTCATATACTATAATAGTATAGATGGAACTCCACAAGGGACAGCATCTTTGTCTTGTCTGCTGATGTACCGAGAGCCCTGAGTACATTAAGCATGTAGTAGGCGTTCAATAAACACTTCCTAAGTGAATGAACGAACAAATAAATGAATCTATAATGTACATCCAAATCAATACTGAATCCAAATTCTAATAATTACACCTAGGAACGTTTCTAGTGTCCGTTCTTCTGCTCCATGCCTGTTCCTATCCCCATGATACCTTTACTATCTCACAACTGAGATTTTGAAACTCACTGACACTGTACCCATCCCTTGTCATTCATCTGGTGTGCACAGAACAGACCAGGCCCCCTTTCAGCATTGCTCACATCACTGTCATGCCCATGGTGTTAAGCTTGGACTCTTTAGAGCTCTCAGATCCCCTCCCTCAGTCTACTTTTATTGCTTTCTTTCATGAGCTCTTTTTCCTTCATAGGGTTTTAATCTTGGTTTATTCCATGAACGTTTTGTCCCCTTGGTCATTACACTTCAGCAAAGTGCCTTAGCATTGATGAACCTTTCCTTCTTCACTGTCTTCCAACCCTGTGTGCACACTGTAACTTCCACCCTTTCGCTCGCAATGAATGTCCCCACCCTTGGCCCCTCACCCCCACCCCTGCCACCTCCATCATAGCTTACTTGCCCCATTCCCTGCAAAAGCTTTCTTGACCCTGCAGTTCACAAGGATCTTTCCACTTCACACACTCACAGTGCTTACAGTACAGACTCCCCATTCAGTTGACACAATCCTATATTGCCCTATGGCAGCTGTTAGAGTTATTTGTTTTTAACTGCGCTTTTATGTAATGCATGGGTTTTTATGTAAAAATTTTGCAGATTAGTCTGGCTAAAGGAAAATATTTCTTTTTTAATTGTGAAGCTGATTGATATATCTTCTCTCTCTAGTTATATTATAGGTTCCCTGAAAATGAATCACTTTCCTTAAGCTTCTTTATATTTTCCATGGACTCAAACACAGTACTAGGCACCCAGGAGGTGGATAGTGTTTTCAGTGCAGTTGAATGACACAAAATCCACATAGGAACCCATGAAGGCTAAGGCACTTTGCTGAAGTGTAATGACCAAGGGGACAAAACGTTAGAGGAATAAACCAAGATTAAAACCCCCAAACTAGGGTGCCTAGGTGACTCAGGTGGTTGGGCATCTGACTTCAACCAGGTCATGATCTCATGGTTCATGGGCTTGAGCTCCGCATTGGGCTCTGTGCTGACAGCTAGGAGCCTGGAGCCTGCTTTGGATTCTGGGTTTCCCCCTCTCTCTGCTCCTCCCCTGATTGCATTGTTTCTCTCTCTCTCTCTCTCAAAAATAAATAATAAAAAATTTTTAACCCAAAAACTGTGAAAGGAAGTTATCTTCTAGTTTCTTTTCATGAACTGTCATTAATGTGGTTGATAATTTGAAAATGCAAGGCACTAAATGATCTCAGTTCTCTTACTATGGTTTATAATCACGTTGTTTTGTGTAGATATTTTTTCCATTTTGAAAGACAGAAGCTCTTCAGTGCAGTAGAAGAGGTCCTGAAGCCTTCAGTCCAAACCATTTTCTGTCGTGGTGAAATGGCCAAAAGTCACAGCATGGCCAAGGACCCCTAGTCTACTCCGCATGGCCATGGGCTCAGGGAAGGTGCTTCATCAGACAACCAGAAGGTGCAAATGCGGGCACAGACTCTGGGGGTCAGTGTTAGCACTTTGCTCCTCACTGTCCTTCCCATTCTCACTGATTCACTGAGCAGACCATGTTACCAGCTCTGGCCAGTGCTGGGCATCTACGTATATAATCTAATATACCTTCACCCACAACCCTTCAAAGCTGGGTATCATGAATGTTCATTTTACAAGTGAGGACCTTGCTCAGAGAGGCCAAGTTGTAGTTTGCAAATCATAGATCTGAGATTTGGACTTAGCAGGGCATTGACACCAAGGTCCTGTCCTCTCCATTTTGTCAAACTGCCTCCCAGGTGCTCAGGAGATATTTAATAGAGGCATGAGTGAAGGAATGACCCAAAAGTGTGCAGTTTCAACAAACAGAATTTCACCACCATCGACAATGCAGAGGACATTCAGGTTTTGTTAAAGAGATATTGAAATATCAATGTTGACATGGCCTAACTGTTTGCATGAAACTTTCTGGAAGTCTGATCTAAGATTTCTTTGCCAGTGCTCTGAAATGGAGCTCCCACCCCTTTCTTCTTCCTGACATATGTAATCTCGTTATCTTGTTAAACCTTCAAGTCTTTTTCTGCTCAAGGGCTACACAGGGACTCAGAGATCTGGGAGGCCATGACAGTCATGGCTGTATCACCTGCCCTCTGTAGGCTGGAGGGCCACAGTAAAAAAGGAAAGTGCCCGCTGACTACAATCCGAAAACCATCATGAATGGACAAATCTTGTCAAGACACAGCCCTGAATGTGCAAATCAGTAGAGACAGAAAGATGATGACCCAAGAATGATTAGAAGATAAATGACACTAAATTCAACCCCTGAAAATATAAAAGACCAAATTCTGAGAGGACAGGTAGCTTGGAGAGCTCGCATCTCTCCCGGCTATCAGAGTTTTGTAACAATTACTAGATTCTGTCCCTGACCCAGGAAACTTGGGCCAAAAAGCTCTGTCATCCAGCCTGCATGTGTCTGCTTTAATAGTCCCGGCCATCACTCTGTCGCACACAAGCTAGTGAAACTGTTCCCTGGGTGACTAGTCTGTGAAACAGACTGTCTCCAGAACCTCTTACATAATAAATTAATGATGCAATAATCACTTAATTCCCCAAATGTACCAGTTATCAATATCCCAATGTACAAATAGAAACAAAGGAATTAAAAATCTCGTTTTGTGGCATTACGAATGCAGTATCTTAAGTATTTTCTCGGTTATTCCACTAAGGTACTGTTTCAATTAACGTAGTATAATTCGGCACTCCTATGTATTTGAGAAAGCCATTTAAAAGCGCCCATTAGCAGAAAGATCCAAGTGGAGGTAGAGGCCAAGAAGCTGTCACCGCTAATTCTTAATACTCTCAGATCTTTTAATTGAGGGTTCCTGCATGTTGACAGGCAGGTAACGTCTAACTACAAAAGCTTTTCCACTGAGAGAGTTGTCTCAGTACGGACACTGTATTCATGAACACACGCAACTAGCATCAAGGATTTCTGTTTAATGACAGGCCCCCCTCCCATACTGCCACTTTACAGAAGCACAAATGGCATGTTTGTCACTTTGCTCAGCCTAACCGGGGAGCCATACAGAGGACTCCCGGCCCTACTCCCAGCTGCGGGCAGGGTACTTTGCTTTAGCGATCAAAAGAGCAGAAAGCTGTCCTCTGCTCTCCCCTTCTGCAAAGCCGTTCGTGACCCGCCTCTCCTAGGTGAGCCTGAGCAAGAAAAGGCCCAAGCATTCATACCAGGCCACAGCAGAGAGCAGCATTCTCAAGTCAGCAAACCTGCTTCCCTGGTCAGGAGGAAAAGTGCCCCCAACAACTGGGGATAAAAACCAGAAAGTGCAAGGGAGGGAACATTCCAGGGTGAAATGGAAAAAAAAAAAAAAAAAAGAAAGAAAGAAAGAAAGAAAGAAAAAGAAAAAGGGGAAAAAAAGAAGAAAAAAAAAGAAAATGCACAAATCCCATGAGGGCATCTGGTTAACCATGGGTTAGAATCAGGTTTAGAGAATCACTCATAACTCAGTGTGTTGGCAAATCCAAAAACTCCAGGGCAAAAGGCATGCGGGTAAAAGGCATTTCTACTCGTGGAAACAGGAAGTTTCCTTCTTTCACCACTTACTCTTCTAAAGTATTTTTCAGTCTGTTTAGAACCCAAATTTGGACCATCACTCATTTTTACCTGCCCGGCATTTTTATCTTTCCAGAGTCAAAAGAACAACAGAGACGGGATGCAAAGATCCCCTTCCCACAGCCGATTCCCATCAGCCCCTCTCTCCCAGGGTTATGGGTGCTCAGAGCCGACATTCGCAGCGGGACATGCCACGCACAGCAAGTCACCAAAGCACACTGCTCTACGGGCTTCCTAGGAACTTACTTGTACTTGTGCTGGTTCCAATCGTATTGATTGTGGTGGGGACAGATGAGGAGGAGTAGAGGGGCACATGGCCGTTCTCACACCCCAGGCTTTTGTCCTGCCAGTTGGAGGCGTTGATGCAAATCCCAGAATCCCGAGAGTTCTGCCACCCATTGAGCTTGTCATCGGAGTTCTGTCTTTGGTGATAGTAGTGTGTCTGCCCATAATCCACAGAGTCCGAGCGGCTTCGGTTCTGGCCGCCGAAGCTGGTCGACGTGCGGTCCTCCAAGTGGTTCAGCCACATGGCTAAAGCACTGCGGTCTTCCAACGAAGTGGCCGGATGTATCAAAGCATAGGACAGCAGCTGCCTGCTCTCCTCGATGTGCTGGTTGTGTTCGATGGAGTGCGCCAGGATTTGGGGCAGCAGTTTCATATACTCAACTTTTGCATCAAGGTTTCCTGGCTTCAGCAAAGGCAGGTGAGTTAACAGGAGGGAAATCACTTTATCCTTGGATTCCTGTTGCCATTGGTTAATGATTCCTGAAAAGGAAAATATACGGGGCAAATAAGCAAATACACCCACAATGGCAGGAAACACCGTACTGTGAAGAGAATTCCTACGGGTTTAGAGTCTCAGTCTATGTACCCTGGCTGATCTATGTACCATTTCTCAAAACGGCCCACACATCGGATCGGATGACTACTTCGGGATGTCGGGGGGCAGTGACATCAATGCAACACACAACAAATGTTCTTAGAGGATCGGGTGCTCAATCTAATTCCCATTCAGGTCTCCAAAGAGCTTACAACAACTTTGGTACAACCGAATAGAACTTAAGAGCCCTGCATTCTTTCTTAGAAAAGTCTAGCCACACTTTCAGATAGGGGGATAAGGAATAAGAAAATCTCCACAGAAAGCAAGTGTTGTCAAAGGTTCACTGGATCCTTGGATGTAAGGCTGCTTTCCCTACCCCAGACATCTGTGGAAAAGTAGTTGACACCCTGGCAAATGCATTTGTGTGAAGTAAAACTTCCTAGACGGAGAAATCTGTCAGGAAAAGAAAAAACTCCCCTCATCTCGGTGAAGGAGGCACTTTCTCCTGAGAGGCTGCCTCAGAAAACAGTTGTGATCGCAAACCTAGGGATGGGACTTAGCTCCAGCAGCTCCTCCGATCACACACGATAAACAAGCTATTTTCCTTCATGTATAGAAGATCTGCTTAGTTATCTTTATTATGGTAAAAAATATATAACACCATATCTACCATTTCCACCATTTTAAAGCATACAGTTGTGTGGCTTTAAGGACATTCACGATGCTGTGCAGCCATCAGCACCATCCATTTCCAGATCTTTTTCATCTTTTCAAACTGAACTCTGTACTCACTGAATGATCACTCCCTATTTCTCCCCTCCCCCAGCTCCTGGCAACCACTGCTGTATTTTCTATTTGACTACCCTAGTTACCTCTTGGAAGTGAAATCATACAGTATTTGTCATTTTGTGACTGGTTATTTCACTTGGCATCATGTCTTCAAGGTTCGTTCATGAGAAGATCCATTTTTAACACACCCTCAAGGATCCCTTCTTGTCCCCTTCTACTCAAAACACACACTTGCTGCCTTTAGGTAAACATGGATAAACAGTGTACTTTGCCTAACTGGCCTTTGAGAAGTAGCTTGTTCTGGAAACCGATGGTTATCCTGAGGACCTCAGGCCACAAGAAAGAAAGTTCCCTTCCTGAAAAGTCACTCCTGACATCTGAAGACATTGTCTCTCACCTACTGATTACCCTATAACAGGCCAGGGCAGGGCAGTTCTAGGGGCTTTCATGCAGTATCTGCAGAATTAAAAGGGGGTATCTGGTATTAGCAGAAGGGCTTCACAATCCCAGTAAGACACAAACATATCAGAACAAGCTCAAGAGTCATTGTTGATCAGAAGCTACGAATCCATCAGTCACGTACTATAAAGCCCCTTGAGATCAAGGGTGTATTTAAAGAAAAGTATCAGGCAAGGAAGACATGATATATAATAAACAAATACAGACTCCAGAATCTGGCAAGCCTGGCCATCAATACCAGATCTGCCGCTTCATTTGCAGTGGAACCTTGGTAAGTTACCTCCTCTACCTGAGCCTCAATTGCCTCATTAGTTAAGATGGTTATCAGCAGCATCTGTCCCTCCCTGTGTGCATCAAAAAGACCGGTCAAGTACTCGATGGTGGACATAATTTCTTCTACTTGTCTCTACAGTAGTCAGGCCCACATTAGAGCCATGGTGGTTGGCTCTGGATCCTGAGTTTTAAAAATAATATACAGAGTCTAAGGATTACCCAGGGAAGGTCATTAAAAAGTATCAGAGGTGGAAGAGGTAGACAGTCAAAAGCTGGAAGAAAATGGGGCTACCGGGCTTCCAGGTGAATAATATGAAGAGATGCTCGACTCTTTTCAAGTGGGGATTTCATAAGAAGATGAACAGCCAACTATTTGAAACAGAAGTCTTCAAATCGAAGCAACAGAGATTAAGACTGGATGTGGAGAAGAAATGACATGCCAGAATGACAAAAGACCTAGAGGAGTCGCCCAGGAAGGCCTTATAATATATGTGCTAGGGGCCTGAAGAATAGAGATAGAGGGGCTAGGGAAGCACTACCAGCTAGGAATGTAATGTGAGCTACATACGGTATTTAAAATTTCCTAATATTAAAAGAAAAGTGAAAAGAGGGAGGTGAAATTAATTTTAATGATGTCTTTTGTTTAATCAAATATGTAAAAATATTATTTCAAGTATCAACTGTAATCAAGTATAGATTATTGATGAAACAGTTTACATGCTTGTCTTTGCATTAGGTGTTCGAAATCCAGGGTGTATATTGCCACTGACATCACATCTCAACTTGAATTAGCCACAGCTGAAGTGCTCAGAAGCCATGTGTGGCTGGAGGCTACAGACCCGGCTAGAGACAGTCAGATGGGGAAGGCAGACAGCAGGAGGGCACAAGTGACCTCAGCAGGTCCCTCCCGCTCCCTGCCTCTATATTTAGCTACCTGTCACCTGACAAAAGGCAACCCTGGTGCATTCCATCAGGTATGGCTTCCCTTTTAAAGTAGCTTTAGGAGACGGAGGAAGCACCAGCTCTAACTTGCCATCAATAGATTTTCAGCAAACACCCAGCATGTTTTTAATTATAAATATGCTTCAGATAAAGATAAAATCTATTCATTAATCCCAAGGAGCTAAAGAGGCACTGGCAAGAAGCAAAAGGTCCTGAGAGGAAGATGAATCCATCTGACATCAGTCAGATGATCAGATGTAGCTGGTGTACACCCTGGAAAACGTACATTTATAAATGTAGGAACAACCCTTAATACAAGTTCAAGAGGCCTAGGAACTCCCTAGTTTTCTGCAAGGTCACTTCCCTGTTTGGATATTCTGCCCTTCTGCAAAAGGTCAGCCTTAAAAAAAAAAAAAAAAAAAGGAACGAAACCAAAACATAAATAGGACTCAGAGTGCAAACTAAACATGTTCTCTCCATGTAAGCACTCTGGGCCAGGGGCAACCTGGGAGCCACAGGAGGTACAAGCACAGCAAAGAGGAAAGGAAAACAAGAGACCTCTGGCTCTGGTCCCTCCCAGGCCTGAAATGGTTCTTTCCTCTTTCTTGGTACAAGGCGCAGGTGGAGTGGGACTGCGGTGTAGCCAGGAAGACCACTATGACTTTTGTTCACTACCGCTGGGAACATGGGCCTGAGACAGCCTTCCGAGGGCAGTCTTCTGAGGTATACCACTAGATGAAACTGTTTCTGCAACAACTACAGATACCACGCTGACAGCTATGATACTGAACGCCCTCTGTGCCAGGCACTCTTTCAAGCTCTGTGAATGTCATTACTCACTTAAAGTTTACAAGAAACTTATGAGGGAGGTCCGATTACAGTCTAATTTTTACATATGAGGATACAAAGGCACAGAGAGGCCAAGCAATTTGCCTCAGGTCCCTCTGACTAGCGAGGTGGCAGAATGGGGATATACAAATTAGCATAAAGATACATAATGATTAGCATGCTAGAAGAGTCTGGCCATAAGTTCAATACATTAGTATTTATAATATAGATAATATGTTCAACATGTGACATCTTAAGTATTATATACGATATATAATATATAATTACATATAAAGTGTGTATGTATATTATATTTACAAAGAATAATATGAATATATTAATAGAGTACATGGATCAGCAGACGACTTGCAAGCTATGGAAGGGCAGGGGAAATAGGAGTTACAGAGACATGTGGGTTTTAAAATATGTCCACAACTCCTTTGACATTCCTAAGAGAGCCTAATGAATTCATTTGTCTTTCAGGGGAGGCTAAACTTAGTGAGTCACTTCTAGCAAATTGAATGTAGCGGAACTGACAGCGTGTGAGTTCATGGACTAGGTTATAAAAGGCACTGGCGGCGTTTACCTTGCTTTGTTTTGGGTTACTCACTCTGGGGGAAGTTAGCCACTGTACTATGATGATACTCAAAGAACCCAGTAGGGAGAGGGGTCTTGAAAGTGAGGAACTGAGGCTTCCTGCCAACAGCCAACACTAACTTGCTAGTCATGTTAGGGAAGCATCTTGGAACCAGAACCTTCAGCCCCTTAAGCCTTCAGATGACTGCACTCTGGACCACGTTTAGAAGACCCTGAGCTAGAACCTCTCTTATTCCTGATTCACAGAAATTGCATGTGATAATGTGTTTATTGTTCTTTTAGCTGCTAATTTTGGGGTAATCTGTTATGTGATTTTAAAAACCCCAATATACCTCTTCCAAAATGGAATAACCTCTGGAAAAATGGAAACATTAGCATTGGCTTTGAGCAGTTCAGCCCGTCAGGCAAAATCATTCCCATTCTGAGATCAACTCATGAAGCTAACCTATTGTCACTAAACATTCGCCTCAGCCTCCCTCGTCCTGATTATCTACTCACCAAACAACTTTTGGGCTAGGATTTAGCTCCCGGTATCTTCATTCCTGGGTGAGAATGACCTGACCATACAGAGTTGGATCGTCTCTTTCAAGATTCAGGTCAATTTAATGCTTTCTGGTTGTGATTTGGCTTCCTGTGGAGGCCTTCCTGTGCTCGGTATATGGAGTATAGCTCAATACATCTGGTCCCTCTGATGATGGCTCCCCATGGCAAGTTAATAAGCCAGCATTGCAGAATCTACTACTTTCTAGTTAGTACTGAGTCTGTCTCTCAGGGTGAGCATCCCCAGGACCCTGATCAGAGAGTGAGCATCTCCACCTTCAAACAGAAGCCTGGACATGTGTGGACTTGGTACATGAAAGCTAGGTCCTGTCCAGCTGCCCACTGGTCTTCTTTGTGGTGTCCACACCACCTTCCAGAGAGCAAGGAGCTTTTGCTGAGATGTGTAGTCAACAGATTCTCCCTACTGGGGAAGATTTAGAAATCCTGAAACTTTCAATGAGTCAATCACTTCTGTGATACAGTTTCTACTATCATACACTCCAATACCACTCTATTT